TGTAACAGAACATACTACAAATATACAAGAATATGACAAAAGGTAATACAGTAGTTGAATGAATCATAGTGTAATATACTCTCATGTGAGAAAATATAACACACTATAGACTATAATGCGATATGATACAATATAATATAATAGACTAGAGTACAATATAATAGAACACATCAGCCTAGACTCTACTAGAATCGAATAGAATAGAACATAATATATACATGTATATATGTATATATATATATACATGAACATAAACGAATACATACATGCATGCAACCATACATACATACATAACATAACATAACATTACATTACATTACATTACATTACGTTGCAATACATAACATTACATTACATTACATAACATTACATAACATAACATTACATAACATTACATAACATTACATAACATAACATTACATTACATTACATAACATTACATTACATTACATAACCTTACATAACATTACATAACATTACATAACATTACATAACATTACATACATACATACTTCCTGAAGCACCTAAACTCGCATGGAAGCCAGACATCCTTGAAGGCATGTGCCCCATGGCACCGAGAATCCGGCCGTTGGCCAGCATGGGGAGCTCCTGCACTCATTCGACAGTATAGCATTGTATAGGATAGTACGGTATAGTATATAGTGTAGTATAGCATTGTATAGTATAGTATAGGATAGTATAGCATAGCCTCGTCGAGTCTAGTCTAGTCTAGTCTAGAATAGTGGAGTATAGTATAGTACAGTACAGTATGGAATAGTACAGGAAATATAGTATAGTCTAGTAGAGCAGAGTAAGGTTGAGTATGGCAGAGAGTAGTACCGTATAGTATAGTATAGTATATCGTACAGGCAACTATATTGTAGTGTAGTGTAGCGTAGAAAATTTGTGCATAATATACCTGACTATACTATACCATGCTAGACTGGACTAGACTAGAATAGTATACTATATTATATGATATTGTATTGCATTATTCTATGCTGGTCTTTTAAGTTCCCTAGCGTCTCTTTGCTGGTGTGGGGAGGGCAACGCAGAGTTCGGATGGACAGGGGTGTGTCGGAATAGAGTCCACAGAGGGATCCAAGAGCCGCCTACGGCATGCGGCGACTTTCCGACTCTGATAGCGATGTCATGGATCCTTGGATAGAATTATCCTATCCTATCTCACCCTGTGCTACCCTAGATTCCCATGTTTTCGAGGCATTGAGGACCGTCTTTTGGTTGTTCCGATCTGGGCCCCGAGATTTGCAGCGAAGAACAGTCTGATGGCCTAGAGCTTTGGGTTTGGGGCTCAGGCTTCGGGGTTCCCAGCTTAGGCTTTCCAGAGTAGGATTCAAATCTCTCCGGCTTTAGGGTTTAGGCTTTCAAGCCTCCGGATGTAAGCGCAGGGCTCGATGTGAAAACGGGGAGAGACAAGAGATCCAGCGTACCCGCAGTCCTCAGGCTTTTGCAACAAGATATAAAAGCTCCAAACTAGAACCCTAACAAAACCGTATGAACCCGTTGTAGATTGCAGACCCTGTTCCCTTTTCGACCCCGCTAGAACACCCTGACAGACTCCGTGTAAACCCCTCGCTGAGAAAGAGTTTTGAAACCCCCTTTTAACCTAAACCCTTAACCCTAAACCGTTTGACTTCTGCCATCTCCCCCAAAATCCCTAAACCCTAAACCCTAAACCCCTATTAACCTAAACCCTTAGTCCCTAAACCGTAGAACCTTCGGCGTATGGACACCTTCCGACTGTCGGCGGCCGCCTGCGGCGACGCGCCGCGCGCCTCGAAGCGCTTCAGGCGCTGAGAACCTGGGCCAGCGGAGCCGGGGTTTGGGCTCTTTGGGCTCTTGGAGTTGAGGGGTTTAAGGTTTAGGGTTTAGGGTTTAAGGCCACTTAGGCTTTGGGGCAATTGAGGCTTTGGAGAGGGCTTGAGGCTGAGGGCCTGCAACGAGCTAGGAGCTCCGCTGAATTTCAGAGCTGGGCAGGGGGCTCATGCGTTGCGTGGAGAGCAAGCCCGCGATCATGTTCTTGCTCCCTTCCGACTCCTCGGTGGGCTCCCATGCGAAACGCAAGCAGCGGCACGAGGCTGTGCTCACGGAGCTGTGCCAGAAGGACATGCTTAGAGATCGTCTTTCTCCGGTTGTTCCGCACCGGCTGACCTATAAATTCCACAAGTTGCTGAAAGACCTCGTGTGCAGCATCCCTGGAACGAACTGAGGATGAGCCAAGCCGCACTCTGGTGGTCCAGCAGTTGCTTGAAGAGGTGCTCACGGTCGCGCTCGTCCAGTTGCTGGCGCAGGAGCTCTGGCTTTGGAGCTAAATTGTCAGAATGGGCTCTGGCAGCTTCAGAAGGGATTTAGGGTTTCAGGGTCATCGGTACGGGGCATCGAGTGCTAGCAGCTGGTAGATAACACCACGAAAGGACATGCGGAACTTGTTGAAACCTTGTGAGCCGGTCCTCGTCTAGTTAAGTTGTTCAGCTCGAAGCCCTGTCATCACACTGGAATTTTGGGCCAGCACTCGCCGGGTGAAGAAACCGATAGCACAGACTACACAGAAACGGGTCTCAGATGGGCAGCCCGTTCCGCTTGATGTCCAGGACCTGCAAGGCTCGTGGGATTGTGTCTATTTAGATGAACAGCCGGGAGAACGACAACGACGACAGCAGCAATAACCAGCGCTCATGTTCCTCCACATCATACTCTCATTGTTTGAAGAAGGCGGCGGGACCCCCGGTCACCTGGGCCCCTTTAGCCTGAAAGATGACAAAACAAGGCTGAACCCCTTGATCGCAGCACCCGGTTAGGTTGGTGTCCCAGCGTCACATCTAAGCAATCACGGAACGAAACTACTGGGTTTAGGGTTTAGGGGTGTCAATCTTGCATTGCAACCGATTCATGCCTCTGGGAAAGAAAAAGTTGCGCAACGACAACGAGCAATGGGATGGTAAGCCCAGCATCCTGGAACAAAAACCACAATAATGTGAACATTAGACAGTGCAGCACGAGAAATCACGCAACGAGCAACAAGCGATTCTGCAGTACCGTCCCCGACCGCAGGGCAGTTCCGGTGCAAGAACGGCGAAGGTACCGAGGAAAACCTGCAATGAGCTGACCTCCTACCATAATATGACTCCCATGTAGAGCTCTTATAGTAATCTTTTGACGGAACCCTTCGAGGAACCCCTCTGACTCTTGTACTAATCTTTCTAACGGAGCCCTTCAAGGAACCTTATTCCAATTATAACGGCCCCTACTGTTGATGATATCAATCCCGCATTACCTTAAGGACCCTAAACTATGGGAATCATGGTATACTCCTTATTCTGGGGTAATGCAGGATTCAATATCATCAACCCTATCTTCGGCATCTCCAAGGGCCGGCCTCGATCTCAAAGAGCAAATCGGCGTCCGGCGGGATCCCCCAGGATGGAAAGCCCCGGGGGCCGTAGCCTTGCGGCTGCTTCTCTTGGGAGGCTCCGGTGTAGGGTTTAAGGTTTAGGGTTTAGGATGGATGGATGGGTTTAGGGTTTAAGATTTAGGGTTTAGGGCTTAAGTGATGGTTCCCAATTCTTGGGGCCTCAAGATTTAAAAAAAAAACACATCTGGAGCCGCAGTGAAAGGCTGGCTTGAAAAAATGTACGAAGCGGCAGAAGAGGAAATGACAGCAAATGTTGCACAGACTAAACACATTGGCTAGTCTGTCTCCATGAAACCCCGCAGTACAAGCAGGCCCTTATGCCAAGAGTACCCATTCAATAAAGTCTTTGGAGATCCTGTTGATCCGCCTGCCTGGGGGGCCTTCTGAAGCCTCCTGGACCTCCGACGACAAGCCTCATGTGACATGATATATAGAGGAACCTTTAACCACAAGACTGATAATACTGCTATCAACAAGAATGATAAACATGATAATCAAAATAGAATGATAACAGCTATGGTTTGCGCAGTATGCATACATACATGTGTATGTCTGTATGTGTATATATATATATGTATGTATGTTTTTACATAGGTGACCTAGCCGTCAAGCCAACTACAAGACATGTACACAAAACTCCGTGTGGATGCCCTCTTGCGGAGGAAGAGAACTCCTGAAGTGACCTCTCCAAAGCATCACCACCCCGAAACTCAAAGGGTTTGAGCTTAGGGTTCACGGTTTTCAAGCAAATCCTAAAATCACATGTGTGGGCTTTGTCCCGCGAGCCTTCACCTGCTGGGATGCGAAGGCCCCTGATCTCGCCCCTTCGCATTCCTTGCCAAGTTGGACCAGATGTTTGGCATTAAGAATACATGCCAGCACAAGCGTTGGCAGCAGCAGCAGCAGCAGTAGCAACCTTAGTGGCAACAGTCATAGCAGTCGTAGCATCAGCAACAACTCGTCGTCGTCGTTGTTGCAGTTGGCATTCTCATTGCTCTCTTCCCGCGGCACCCCCGAACATCAAGAATGGCTCGACAAGGGAGCTTGCGGTTTCGGGCCCCGTAATTGAAATCCGATGACAATTCTTAGTCTTGGGGGCAACGAGGACTGCAATGGTTGTAATACGACCCATACTATCACTAGTAATCTAGTGACCTATAGTACTATTGAACCATTGATCGTTGATAAGAGGCCGCTGTGCCCCCCCCCCGGCATGGTGAGCAATCACTCTGCCGATGGGGCCAGTTGCGGCCCAATTGGGCCTCAAGATGGCAAACGGGTTCCCATTCTTTGGGAAACCCGCAGGGCACGCCCTCCTTTGACACAACAAGCTGGTAGCAATGCCAGCGCTAATACTAGAAGAACTGCAGGCGGTAGCGACCGCAACAACGTAGGACTGCATTGACTGCAAGGGAAGTGCAGGCTGCAAGAGCCACAGGGATGTAGAAGTGCAGGGGAATTGCGGGCTAGAGGAACGTAGGACTGCGGGGAATGCAGCGGACTGCAGGCTGCGGGGAAGGTGCAACTGCAGGGTCTGCGGGCTGCAGAAAGTCCATTCGGCCGAACTTCAAACCCCCTCAGTGGGCGCAAGACCCATTTTCATATTAGGAGAGGAGGGATTTAATGAAAGGTGGGAAAGAGTGCTAGCCGCAAGAAACTCAACCGGCCGATGGGCCCCCTCAATCTGCCACTTCTGACTGCCGTGCCAAGCCTCAGAACATCGATAAGAAACGAGATGGAAACATGACACCGCTGGGAACCTCCTAAATCCTCCCGACAAATCGTTCTGATTGCCAGATCCCAGGCCTCGTGCTCCGTAGTCCCATCCTTTGATGACGCCTGCCCAAGACTTTCTGCATCAAGTTTCCCACAGCCATCTACTGCTACGACTGCTACGGCTGCTACGGCTACTACTACTACTGCTGCTGCTGCTACTACTACTACTACTACGACGACGACGACGACGACGTCTACTACTACTGCTTGTTGTTGTTGTTGTTGATGTTGTTGTTGATGTTGTTGTTGTTGTTGTACTACTACTACTACTACTACTACTACTACTACTACTACTGCTACTACTACTACTACTGCTGCTGCTGCTACTACTACTACTACTACAAACAGCACATATCGTCATGATAAATACTCGTTCCAATTTAAGAAAACACTGCATGATCGCCATGAGCGGGCCTCCCCCGGCTGTGTAGGTGAAAGGCTCCTGCCCTGGGTCCTGCAGAATAGCATCAAGGGAAAAGCAGCACTGAGAACGCCTCCCTTATGCCACCATTCCCATTCTTGATATCTGCACCATTCTGTGGAAACAGGGTCCTTGGTGCTCCAAAACTTGGTCTTGGTGTCCCGTACTAGGCCAGTCGCATGGACAGTCACCTGCGGCATCGTTCTGAGAAAATGCACGTGTTTCGGAATGTTTTTCGAGCTAGACCATATTCTGCCGGACTGTAACGTATCGACATACAGACTGTTGAAACGTAACTATAACGCAGCATTTTCATTAGCAATGAATGTTAGCGCACAGTGCATGGTCAAGGCCTGGATTTGTGCTCTAACTTGCATGAAGAACATATGAAGTCCCGACAGACGAGTGATTTCAGCGGACTGCTCTTGATACAGCAAGTGTTCCAAGCACGGCAGAGGGCTCGTACGACAGACATTTGCAAGTGAAGCTTTTCTTCGGTCTCGGTCTCGGATAAGTTGACGTTTTGTGCTGCACAGCTTTTTTGAGTTGGCATGTTCGCATTCGACCCTGCGAAGCTGTAGGATACACCTGCAAGCCGTATGCAAGAATCTAAGGATCAAATACAAGCTTGCGAAAGAACAACCACGCCGCGTGCATGTATGTATGTATGTATGTATGTATGTATGTATGTAGGTAGGTAGGTAGGTAGGTAGGTATGTACATAGTATGTTTCCGCTTGTATGTATGTATGTATGTATGTATGTATGTATGTATGTATGTATGTATGTGTGTATGTATGTATGTATGTATGTATGTATGTATGTATGTATGTATGTATGTATGTACGCATGCATGTCTGCATGTGTGTGAGGGTAAGTACATACGTGTGTATATGCATCTATGTATGTATGCATGCATGCATGTACGTATGTATACATCTGCGCGAATGTATGCAGTGTTTGCGTGTAGCATACACATAAAGAGAGAGGTGGCCTGACATGCTGCTCTGTTCTTTGCGCATAACAAAAAGCAGGTGCGTATACACATATGTATTCGAAGCGTTGGAGTTGCTGGGGGTTGCTGGTGTTGTTGCTGCTGCTGCTGCTGTTGCTAGTGCTGTTGGTGCTGGGAGTGATGCTGATGTTGTTGGTGTTGCTGGTGTTGCTGATCTCTTCGTTGTTCCCCTTTGAGCTGGGAAGTTCTGTTCCACGCCATAGGATTCGTTCTCGGACTCCTGCCACGAAAGCAAGTAGAAGCTACCGACGGGTGTGGATTCGTGCTCTGACTCTGACTTGCCTGAAGAACAGATGATATCCCGACACGAGCTGATGATTTCAAAGGCCTGCTGTTGACTCAGCGATGTTTTCCCTCACGGCACAGTTCTCTGGTATCGACTGCAGACATTTGCAGGTGAAACGCTTCTTCTCGGATGTGTTACCATTTTGCTTGCTAGCCTGTTAGGCTGGCATGTTCGCATTCGGCGGGCAACAAACCCTGCGAAGCTGTAGGATGAGTGGCGGGTTCCGACATCATAGACTGTCCCTATGCGCGCCTGCCGAGTTCTCTGCCCCTGCAACTTGACCTACGATTCGGCATAAGTGTTCTCCCAGGTTGCGGGCTGAACCTCATCGTCGGCAGAGGCCTCGATACCGTTCGAGCGAGCCTCCTCCAGAATAGCCATTGTGTTTGCACCCCCAGGCTCGCTGGTCATTTTATCGATCCGGCAACCCATGATCAAGCAGTCTCTGCCTCTGCGAGGATCGTTGAACAGCTCGTGATACCCATAGCCGAATAATTCATGCACGACACGCTGGGCTCCTTCTGGATGCGCATCCGTCAGAATCCCTGCGACAGCCTCCAAGCACATGAAGATCGGGCCATTGTTGCTGTCACCGTAGTGGTTCATGAGGTCACTAAATCGCTTCGCAAGAATCTCTGTCACCTCCATGTCTCCGACCTCCACCAAATCGGGGACCGCCTTGGTGGCGTGAAAGACGGTCGTGACAGACGTGGTGTTCTCCTCTGTGACGAAGTCGATGTATGAGATCTTCTTGAGCCAGAACTTAAGCACCTTGACAACATCGGGGTCTCCTCGACTGGCGATCCGCTTCAGGATCTTGATCGCAATGACGGAAGCCGCATCTGGAAAGCGCTCTGTCTGTGGGCCGCAGGGGTCCTTCCGCTCCTGATCCAGGAGACGGAGGCACAAGGATCTCACCTGCTCCGTCTCTGCAAGCTGGACGTGATCGAAGCCTTCCAGGAAGCCAAGCGACGGCAGGAGTGCGGTCTTTGCCTGCTCAAGCCATTTCTCGTGCTCTGCCGTCTCTACGGTCGCCGGGCAGTTGTCGAGAAAGCCGAGGCACTCCTCTGCGTAGTGTTGCGGACCCACCAACTGCAAAGTCAAATCGGCCTCGTCTGCGCAGAAGGACTCGATACAACCTTCGGACAAGACGTCCGCCCCTTTCAGCAAGCGCAAAGAAAATGCCGGCTTGTCGAGAGCTTTCGCAAGGTCTTCCCGAAGTTGGGCCACCGTATGGTCCAAGGCAACTTCGGTGGGACCCCAGCACTTCTCACCCGCGAGGTTGTGAACCGTCAACACAGGCATTCTGCTGAACAAACATAGACTTCGCTTGAGACGCAAATGCCTCCAACCAGCACATCAGAATCTGTGATTCACTAAGGTCTGGCTATTCGTCGAAATTCGTGCTTGCATCAGGACATTCTATTACCCGTAGACATGCAAGCGACAAGACCAGCGCAACAGGAAGAGAAGCCGTTTTCTGGCTTTACCGATGCACTCTCGAAAACGGGCAGGCGAAAGTACCCGCAACTCGACTGTTTCAATCAGAAACTCGAGGTGTCCAAAGCAGTCTTGCGCAATAAAGGGTTGTAGCACGTATTCCAACATTGAAGCCGCATCCCAGCCCACAGATGCTAAGCCGTCGCTCCTTCTCCGCTCGGTCGCGCAGTAGCAGAGCCGAGGAAAGAGTGAGCCGTTCATCCTTCAGCCTTTTTCCCTTCTGCGGTGGATCTGAACATGCATGTGCTCGGAAGCATCATCGTCGACTGAAAAGCATTGATGCCAGGTGCTGCAAAAAGACCGGAACAGGAGGTAGAGGTAGTTGGGTCAACAGCATTGGACACTCAGGGAAAGCAGCAACATCCAATATAGGGGCCTTAGTAATTAGAGCAAGGCTTTTGGCTATGCTATACAATGAATACTGGCAATGACTGCGGCCCCTATAATACCAACAGTATAAGTATGAGTAGCAAAAACGTCACCAGTTATGATAGCAGCAACAATAACAGTAGCAATGATGACAAATAATGCTGGTGCATTAGAGACCTTGCTTGCAACCAACTCTTCGGCCTCGTCTCCCGGCTCGACGTACCCGTAGCCCTTAGCAGTTTAGGGCTTCAGGGCTTTAGGGCTTCAGCGGCCTAGGGTTTGGGGTTTAGGAGCCAGCGGGCTTCACGATTCCCGCTGATTCCGCCTTCGGCGGACTGTTTTGCGAGCGACCCCATCCGCAAGAGCAAAACCCCTCTTAAGCATTACGTGGCAGCTTACGTATTCGATGCGTCCGCTCCCTTCCAGCCCTTCCTCATCCTGGTCGAAGGAAGGTCGTCCAGATACAGAACTCCGTCAGAAGACGGGAAAACAAAGGTTGCTCAGCAAAATTGGGCCCAGTCGCCGTGCCTTCTTTCAAGACCGTGTAGATCCTGAGATGTCAGGCCATCCTATCAAGAGATCCGGAAGACCACCTAAATCAGCTTCATGTTCGACATTATTACCATTACTATGCTGTTGTCCATTACGATTATGTTTAACATTCTGGTGAAGATTGAGGTTCTAGTGCTACCGGACTTGTCACTACAAGTATACATACAAGCGTCACTGATCCTGCTGTCACTGCGAATACTTGAGCGTACTTAAATATTAGTCTTGTAAAGTGTTGATAGTTTTTGACTTCCTGGGTACGCCTACGACTACTTCAGGTACTACTGTTACTATCCGGTACTGCTGCTGCTGCTGCTGCTACTACTACCTCTACCACTACCACTACCACTACCACTACCACTACCACTACCACTACCACTACCACTACCACTACCACTACCACTACCACTACCACTACTACTACTACTAACTAACTAACTAACTAAC